TTTTCAATGACGTAGTAATTATCCAGAAAATAATCATCCTGGTATGGATAATCTGAAACAAAAACGTGGTCTTTTTACAATCTCTAGCATCAACAGAAGATTACGGTTTTTATTTAGGGAATTAAAAATAACGTAATCACATTATATCTATTTTTTCTTTAATCATTAATTTAATTTTTTTTTATACAACTTAGAATGGCAAACTAGCTGACGGCCCACTTGATGGAAATTGGTAACCGTCGCCTGTAGACATGAGCAGTACTATGCACATAACAGAGTATACTGTTTCGTCCATGATAACCCAATATGTTGCCATTCTTGAGGACTCAGATGTTAATCCTCTGTATCCTGTAAATTCACCCCATATCTCACCCTTAGAACCGAAACACAGCCAAGCAAACACAATTGCTTTACGGTTGAAACACGAATGCGACAGAGGTACCCAAGCAATTGACTTTTGTACAAAGTCTCCCTCTGGTCTTGTACTTATATCTTTACAGTCTAATGCATAATTAAGATTTATATATTTACACTTTATTGCATCATTTAAAAAGATATTAAATACAGTAAATATGAATGAGAAGTGATACAAAAGGCAGCCTTATTGCTGAGCTATCTCTTACAGACAACCTTTGGGTAGAAAACATTGGACATGCAAATTATATTAACTATTAATTAAGTACTAATACGCAGCTATATTGCTTTAGTCCCAGGTTCGAGTGGGGAAAGGGATTGTTAGCAATGGAGTTTGACAGTCCCATTGCTAGCAATTGCCCTATTAGGTCGACATGGTTCCCCCTAGAAACCATCGTGAACAATTCTTGTTGAATTCGTCACGATGGGCTACCTGGCCTGCTTTATGCTCACCTATCATCCTTTACTGGTGCCCCGCCGGTGTATACCGACAGCGCGGGTGTGGTTACCATTCCATTATCAGCCATTAAAAAACAAAGTCCCAGGTTCGATTCTCGAACTTTAATTAGGGAAATTATTTTTTTCTAAATTGTATATATAATAATAGTACGTATTAGTTCAAACTAATGAAGCAGTAAATCCTATCACACTTTTCTAAACACAACTTTCTTTTTGAAGTCGCTTAAAAATAATTGTCTAATGAATTTACACTGAAAGATTGTATTCATTAGGCAATTCTTTCAGATTTCTTTGTTCATTGCCCTTTGTTTAAAATAGTTCAAGCTGTAATAATTAAAAAAAGAGTTTCGCGACGAGAAGATAATTTTGTTGTCGGGAAAAAAAAATCTAGATTAATTAACTCTGAACTGTCTTGGACAGCGTCTGGAATGTTGAACAATCTTTCTCCTTTAAGAATGCCAGTAATTGTGGTTTTCGCCCTATAAATAAATTCTCCTGGTTGATTAAGTGGCAACAGTGAAATCAAATTGATTGTTCATAAAACTTTAACACTTAAAGGTGTCTATGGGTAAAGTTGGCATCGTTTTCGAATTGTAACTTGTATTGAACTTTTTTTTTTAAATATATGCATGAATGCATGAATGTAAGAAATATGGTAAATATACAGATAGATAGAATAATATTAAGTCCACATATTTCGCCACAATTAGGCATGCAAAATTTAAAATTTTAATAATTAACTATTCTTATAAAAAAAAACAATATGTCAATTACAATTTTATGTCAATTTATGTACTTCATTTCATTTGATATTACTACGTATTAGTAGGTCTGTGATTAGTGTCAACAATATTAACTTATAATATTAATTAATTAGTCATTTCACTATTAATTTAAAAAAAATCAATAATTGAATAGAAACAATGGTCAATAAGCCATTTTTGTAGTTTGGATTTAAAATAATTAAAAGTGGTAAGTTTTTGAAGTGCTGGGGAATTTTATTATAAATTTTAATAGACATAAAATAATAGTTTCTTTGATATAGAGAAGTTTTACATTTCGGTACAACTAATTTAGTGGGATGCCTACTCCCAAATTTTGAGTGTTCTACAACTTTTGTAAAAAACTTAGAATGACAAACAAGCTGACGCCCCACCTGATGGAAAGTGGTAACCGTCGCCTATAGACATGAGCAGTAGCATGAACATAACAGAGTATACTGTTTCGTCCATGATACTCCCCATGCGTTGCCATTCCTGAGGACTCAGGTGTTATTCCTCTGTACCCAGTAAATTCACGCCATATCCCACCCTTCAAACCGAAACACAGCCATGCAAACACAACTGCTTCACGGTAGAAACACGAATGGGACAGAGGTACCCAAGCAATCTACTTTTGTACAAAGTCTCCCTTATACACGAAATTGAGAAGAATATAAAGTATTTAGTTACTTTTATTAATATTACTTTTAAACATTATTATTATTATTATTATATAGAAAACGCTATGTTCTCGAAATTAGAATAAAATATGACAAACTTGCAATGGGAATGACATAATTAATTGAAACTGGTGTTGTAATTTTGTAAATTATGAATGAATGATCTGTATTAGGCGTCAGCATTGTCTTATATTCAGGTCAATGACTCTGTTTGTATACATTGTCATTAAACTATACTGACATAGACTAGAAAATATTTTCGTCATCTAATTGAGAACGGTTTTTTATGATGGGTGAAAATGGTATGGTAACCCCGCCTGCGCTAACGGGATACGCTTGCGGTGCACCAGTGAAGGGTGATAGGTGAGAATGAAAACAGGCCAGTTAGCCCATCATGATGAATTCATCAGGAATTAACCACGATAGTTTCCAGGGAGAACCGAGAACCGAGGAGGTCGACCTGGTTGGGTATATTGCTAGCAATGGCATTTTCAGTCTCCATTACTAACAACCCCTTTTCCCCCAATTGAGAACGGTTGCTACATCTATATTATGGGGGTCATTTACGATAATAAATTGTTTGGACGTAATACGATACTTACGCATATATTCAGATACGGCTTTAACTGTGTAACACGCTCCCATGTGAAGAATTTGCCATACTGAAAAAAAAGAATGGAAAATATTTAAAAATACCACAATAACGATTGTTGAGAGCGCCACTATCGTATTTATAGATTGATTGTCTATATATCAGTACATTTGTTTCGGTTTGAAGGGTGGAATATGGCGTGAATTTACTGGGTACAGAGGAATAACACCTGAGTCCTCAGGAATGGCAACGTATGGGGGGTATCATGGGCGAAACAGTATACTCTGTTATGTCCATGGTACAGCTCATGTCTATAGGCGACGGTTACCACTTTCCATCAAGTGGGCCTTCAGCTTGTTTGCCATTCTAAGTTGTTTAAAAAAAAATGTTTACGTATTGATTTGTGCGGATACATAAATATTGTTGATTTTATTTTAGTTTCTAACGTTGATACTAGATGGTGTTGTTATCCTTTTAAGCATGCTGTTATGTAATTGTCTTGAAGTCAATATCTAGCAATGCAGATTCGTACTATTCAGTACTTCTAACACCATTTTTTATTTACAATACAGTCATGCCCTTGTATGTATTGTTTCATTTTAGGGATTTTTTAGGCTGTTTGGTACCACGACGTGTACCACATCGACGATTGATCTTTTTTTAATTCATAACTAGAAATTCCTAAAAATAAAACTGCCAAACGTAGCAACTATTCGCGAAATTACCTTTTAAACTGCATTGTTTAAAAGGTACAAACGCATACATACATTCAAACACACACACACACACACACACGCACGTACGCACGCACGAACGCATGAACGCACGCACACACGCACGCACGCACGCATGCACGCAAGCACGGACGCGCGCACGATCGCACGCATGCACGCACGCACGCACTCATGCACGCATGCACGCACGCATGCATGCGTTTAGATATACTCACTTATTACTATATAATGTTAGTATCTTAATTTTATGGTACTATGATTTGTATTTTCATGGCTATGGAGGAGCGTGACCTTCTGATATAGGTGATGTTAAGTACTAGAAGGTCACAACAACGGTCTATGTATTGTATCAATTTTGATATGAAATAAATATTTTTTATTTTCATTTTAATCAATTTATCAGTTTAGAATGTGCTGTGCAACAGACAGATAATACATAAAAATAAAATTTTGATTCTTAATACATTTAAAATCCACTTAAACGGCACACCTATTTTCATTATAGCTCCCAAACGAATGAAGCATGTTTAGTGAAATGTAATCCCTTTTCAGCGTTTAGAATCGAAGGCATCTGATTAATTATCGCAGCTAGAATGCAAACCATTTATACAGACATTTCAATTCAGTATTTCAGATGATTGGCCTTTAGTTTTTGATTTATATATTTGGTAGTTTTGTATGTTTATGTATTTTTATAAGTATACCTATATATTTGATCAGGGGTGTTCTTCTCTAGAAGTCTGTCCGATTCTAGAATAAGGACACACGGGTATGCGACCCCGGCCTCCCGAGCAGCTGCAGTGTCCCAGTCGTTTCCGTAACTGCAGTGTCCCCCCTTTCCTTTCCCACATAAGTCCCTTATTCCTCTCATTTACTAATTTCTTTTACTCATTTCCAACGTTCTTTTCCTTTTTACCTCAATCCTTTTCTCCATACCGTAGGTGGCGGAAACCACCAATAAATGCATTCCCAAAGAGGGTTGAGGTCAGGCAGGCGGCCGGTCGTAAAATTATAAGCCAAATCCTTGAGTAATATGGATAAAACCATGTTACGCCGACCCCAAATAATAATTGGGGTAAGGGTAGGAAGATAATGATACCTATATATTTGCCATGTAGTCCAGGCATAGAATAGGCCACCCCTTACTTTCCCATGAATGTTGTAAGCAACTAAAAGAGGGCTCGCCCTCTCCCTCCCTCGGGATGGGCAGCATTCTCTAAGAACATCTCCAAAGCCTAACTATGTTTGCTAATCCGCCTGCCAATCGTGGCAATTACTGGAAAAACCTCCCTAATGGGAGAGGCTATGTTCAACAATGGACAATTAACGGTTAATACAACAAATGATTAATATACTTATCTTAGTTTAGACAAAAGATATACTTGCCTTCATATCTTTCCATGCAATTTACGTAATCCAGCATACAATAATTTTCAAATGTGCTGTAAACATAATATAAAGTTCTACCGCACACTTGACCAGTTCTGAAAAAAAAATAGTCAAATCAGAGGCGAATTACAATTATTATTATAAAAAGAAAAACTGTTTAAAAATCTAAAGAATTTAGGAAATTTTTAGGCCCCTAATATTAATTATATTCGACTCGTCGGTCCGTCCCGGCTTCGCACGGGTGGACATTTTTACAACATTATAAAAAGTAGTTATTGTGACATAACGATAATAGTTGGACGCGAAGTTTTTTGTAGTAATTGATATTTCCTTCAATATTGTAGAACATACTTTTGTTCTATCACCAATAGTTCCGCAGCGCATGCGACGAAATATATTTTTTACCATTTTTTTACACCTTGAGTTACATTACTAAAGTTTTAGCAAGGATGCCTAATCTTTTCTAGCATTAAATATAGCCTATGTTATTTAGGGTGAACATAGCTTTCTAATGGTGAAAGAATTTTTGAAATCGGCGAAGTAGTTTATGAGTTTATTCATTACAAACATACACACAAAAATACAAACCTTTCCTCTTTATAATATTAGTGTAGATTTCTTATATCTTTGCACCTATTCAAAGATTTTTTATACTAGCAATATAAAGAGATAAAATTTGATGGCTTGCTTGTAAATAAATAAACACAAAACCTGCTTAACGGATTTGAAAAATTCTTTCACTTTGATTCGATGTAATAACATACTTGTAAATTGTTTTCGAAACCCGTGCGAAACTGTACCAAATTGCTACTTTCTTTTTCTTTTTATTTAAGAGTTATGTACCTCTTGTCGGTGCAACTAATTTATACATTTTCATCCATCATTTCTTCCAGGCCATGTAGTATAGAAAGCTCAAAGATATTGACTTCCTTATGCGACGTGACACCTAGTATTTCCTTTATCTGTCCCATGTAGTTATTTCTCGGTTTTTACCTTTCCTCTTTTGCTTCTATTTTTCCTTCCACTATGCTCTTTAAAAAATCGTCACGTCGTACAAACTGGCCTAGTATTTTGCTTTATCTATTCTCTATCGTCTATACCTTGATTGCTACTAATTTATATAATAATCTAGGCAACTAATATTAAATTACATTGTCGAATGATCCAACATAGAATACGCTAGACACTCTCGTTTGGGATTGCAACTAAATATTCCAGCGATGTAACATTGTAGTCGTCGGTGTTCGACGCCTGACTACCAAAGACATGTGGCAGAGAGCCAAGGATACGGTTGCTTTATTCAATCCACTTATTTGTGCTGAATAAGGCAAATCTCAAGTCGAAGATGTCAACTCATAATATGCTGAGTACAGTCTATTGGATAATATGGTGTAGTCATGAATTAGTATAATAAAGGTATGTGTTCCTCTGGTAAAATTTACTAGAGGAACACTTTTTACAAATTTTGTTTACCTCTGTGCTATTAAGGTTTTTGCCATGAAGCATTTGTGTTCATACAACTGTCATAGTTTGAAGGGGTTATATTAGTAAAATTAAAAGGTAAGGAGGCATCATTATTTTTGATAGAAGCAGAACAATATAAATGTGACTAAAATCGTTCAGCGAAACGCGAATGGAGCTGAATAAGTGTGAGAAGTCCCTTATTCTATGTTGTATACATATTGATAAAATTCATACTCATATGCTTTGAGGCAGTAATGTGCGAGGTAATCACAGTCTTCTTCTAAGTATATTCTAGCAGGAGTGGTTCTTTTACGCTTTTTGACTGTCGTCTTTGATGTAGTAAATCTATTGAAAATAGAAAAATAATTAAATGATTTTTATTTCATAAACAAAAAACTAACTAGAGTATGATAGGTATCTCATAAGAAATAATGAATCCGGTAGATGGGGGGGAGGGGCAATACAAAAATTGCCGGGTTAATTGTTTATCGTAGTCGTTAATTGTCCACGGCTGAACATAGGTCTCCCCCATAAGGGTTATTATGCTTGGGAAACAGGTTGGCAACCGCAGTTAGGCTTCAGTGACGTTTAAAGAGGGATGCTGCTGCCAATCCCTCGACTATTAAGTTTCTTTTGTCGCCTCTTACAACATCAATGAACTAGTTAGTATTTATATAAATAAGTTATCTCTTTTATGTCCTTCACCCAAAGATTCTTCCAAGATATTGTTTGGAGATAAGACCACTTATCTTTATTACTTAACCGGCGCAATTATTTTCTTAATAATAAGACCTGTAAATACCAAAACATTATTATTTTTAGAAATTTTGTCTGTCTGTATGTTTGTTTCGACACCATGCAAAAACAACTACACTAAATTAAATACAGTTTCTACTACTGCATTCCTGAAGGTCTAACCTAAAATCATGCATGGTGCATGTTTTATCTTGATACATTATTTAAATATGTTTTATTTAATTGCTTTTCTTATTTCTGGAACCCACACGTATTGTGAATAATCCGATTAACATAATAACAAACATAGGTTTCGGGAAAAAAGTGAATAAATATAGTAGATGATGAGTTAAAAAAAAATAAAAAAAATCCAGATCAAGAAAAATTCATATTATTTGTTATTGACAGAAAAATAAAGTAACGCAATATAAAGAGGTTTCACAACACGTACGAACTAGCGGGACACAACTAGTGTGTAAATAAACAAACCACCCCTTCCCCATAATTTGTTGAAGTCCGAGTTACCTTCCAGACTCAGCGTTCTTCGGCCTAGAAACCGGATTCGCGCCGATATTATCTCCGAAATAATTCGGAGATGTGAGCAGCTTCGAATAATCTACTTGAGGCGTCGGTCCAGTAATATTAGTAGCCATAACAGAGAACTTGTCAATGATTATAACTGTAAATTTAATTTAATTTAATTATTTAGTTAGTACAGTTTCAGAGAAGTTTTCTCCCACGAACGTTCAGGCTGTGGAATGAGTTCCCTGCTGAGGTTTTCCCTAGAGACTACAGTATGGGATTATTCTAAAATAGTGTATTAGATAGAAATAACTAATATATATAGTAATATCTAAATATTTTAGTTACAGTATCCATATAAAGAGGAAGACCGAGGAATAACTACATGGGACAGATAAAGGAAACACTAGGCGTCATGTCGTATAGGGAGATAAAGAATATGGCCTGGGATAGAGCTGGCTGGAGGAAGATGCATGAATTAGTTGCAACGACAAGAGGAAACTCTTAAATGAAAAAGAGAGGATCTATATAAAGATCCAATAATGAATATGTTAAAAGTCTATTATGCAAAAAATAATGTTGGATAACACTTTTAATATATTCGAAAATAGATATCCGACCGATACGGGCGATATTAAGATGGTTGTTGACCTTTTATCCGCTATCAATGTCCAAAGAAACCTAATTAATAGATATTTGATCGGTTTCCATATTACTCACGCCTAGTATTAAGGTTTCTTCAGGGACGACAACGTCCATATGACACTCTTAGTGTTGCAGGCGTCTGTAGGTTACAGTGACAATTTACCATTAGATAAGCTTTTTTAATGTATGATAATGAAATGGTAACTCCACCTGCGTTAACGGTATACGCTGGCGAGGCACCAGTGAGGGATGATAGGTGAGAATGAAAAGGTAGGTCAGTTAGATCAACGTAATAAAAACATCGTAACACGCAACCAGAGGGAGACTTTGTACAAAAGTCGATTGCTTGGGTACCTCTGTCCCATTCGTGTTTCAACCGTAAAGAAGTTGTGTTTACATGGCTGTGTTTCGGTTTGAAGAGTGAGATATAGCAGTAAATTTACAGGGTACAGAGGAATAACACCTGAGGCCTCAGGAATGGCAACGCATGGAAGGTATCATGGGCGAAACAGTATACTCTGTTACGTCCATGGTACTGTTCATGTCTATAAGCGACGGTTACCACTTTCCATCAGGTGAGCCGTCAGCTTGTTTGCTATTCAAAGTTGCATAAAAAAATTAAAAAATTAACAGAAAAAATATCACACAGAAATTGTAATTATTTTATATGGTAACACAGGGATACTTACTTAAAATATAACAAACTAATTGATGTATCATCTCCAAGACTTTGTAACTATTATTTGTGTAAAAATGTCTTAATATATATACATATTTTGATGTATTGTTTGTTTGTTTGTTATCACATTACATTTCAAACAAGTTAACCATGTATTTCTATTATTATTCTTATAAATTATTTAACTTTTATAGTAACTACTAGTTATACGACACGGATACTGAAACTTGTGCTGATAAAGATCGATTTACACTAAAAAATATTAAATATAGCAATAGAATTTATTCTTTTTTTTTGCAACACAGGGGGCAAACGAGCATGCGGCTCACCTGATGGTAAGTGACTACCGCCGCCCATGATCACCCACAACACCTACGGTATTGCAGGTGTGCTGCCGGCCTTTTAAAAAGGAATATGTTCTTTTCTTAAAGGTTATGTTGTCGTATCGGTTCGAAAATACTGCTGCTGGAAGTTGATTCCTAAGAATGGTTGTGCGTGGGAGAAAGTGCCTTGAAAAACAAACGGTTGAGGACCGCCACTCGTCCAGATGGTTGGGATGAAATTTTAGTTTATGGCGGGTTGTACGATGGTGAAAATCAGCAGCAGGTATTCGCAAATATATTATAGAGAATTATTATATTTCTTGGTATATATATTAGTGTCATTAGGAAAAAGGTAAGGTAAGGAGTGTAGATTCTTACGATGGCCTTTACATTCAAATCCGTTCAGGCATTTAGGAATTATGGCGAAACAAATAAACTCACATACGAGTACCCACCAACATGAACTCTGACTGTATTCCTTTTTAAAGCAGTCATGTACAAAAATAAACTCTATCACAATGAAAAAGGGTTCACAATTTAAATGCATGGTTAAAATTAGAAAATTTTATTTAGAGCAAACTAGTTGAACTAAAAATTTTAACCGGAAATTTAAAAAGAAATCAGTAATTTAAAAAATAAAATAATAGATAAATCTGCCGAAATTGGCTTTGCCGGTGTTGCCAGGCTCAAGTACAATGTCATAAATATTAATATTTTTTATATAAATAAATGAATCGAAATACGATGTGTTACATAAAACTAAAATTTCGTGAATCCAAAATTCGAAGATAAGAAAATTTTTGAGTTCCCCATACTAACTCAACAGCTGAGCGCGCCAATTTAGTGTTCGGCATTTTTCGACATTTATCAACCCATGTGTTTTTGGTGAAATACAGCCATCAAAGTGTGCTATTGACTTTGGTTTCATCCCGTAATCCATTCTCATTTTTAACATCCATTTAAGTCTTAGGATTTTTTAATTGCCGAAGTTAATTACTAAATTATTTTCCACAAAAAAAAAAATACTTTAATTTTAACAAACCATTTTTTTTGTATATTTTTTCAAATCTGTAAGTATATTTTTTCAAATAAAAGAAGATCGATTTTCGAAATCGATTAACAACTGACGGAGTTATGAGGTAACAAACATAAAAATAAAATACATCCGAATCGAGAACCTTTTCGCTACCTGGTGTGAATCGTTCTTTATTTAATCTTAGCGTAGATACGTCAACGATATTATGATTAATGGTGAAATACTGTACTAAACTAAGCAGAAAATTGAAAAATGCTTACTACTACTATGTAATAATGAATATTTTTTGCAAAAAACAAAAAGAATCATTATATGCCTGTCATTTATTAAAATCCGATAAATTACATTTTTTTTTATACAACTTAGAATGGCAAACAAGCTGACGGCCCACCTGATGGAAAGTGGTAACCGTCGCCTATACACATGAGCAGTACCATGGACATAACAGAGTATAGTGTTTCGCCCATGCGTTGCCATTCCTGAGGACTCAGGTGTTATTCCTCTGTACCCAGTAAATTTACGCCATATCCCACGCTTCAAACCGAAACACAGCCATGCAAACACAACTGCTTCACGGTTGAAACGCGAATGGGACAGAGATACCCAAGCAATCTACTTTTGTACAAAGTCTCCCTCTGGTAAATTATTCATCATATCAGGCTTTAACTGTTTAATGCTGAACATAAGTCTCCCCCTTAGGGGGTTTTGCCAGTAGTTGCCACGCTTGGCAAGCGGATTGGCAACCGCAGTAAGGGATTTACAGATGTTTTAAGAGACGCTGCTGTCTATCCCTCGCGCTCCCTAAGCCGCCTCTTACGACACCCACGGGAAAGGAAGTGGTGGCCTATTCTATGCCGGGACCATACGGGAATTAAATTACATTACGATAGAATAATAATTAATGATTGTGCCACACAATACCATAATTCTTCTCTTTCTGCGTCTAGGGAAAGTAGATAAACTTTTGTTTGAGAAATCAGTTCAGGGTACAATAGGACTGATATACCTGAAGAAGGTAAAAGCCCTTAAACAAATATTAAAAAAAAATCTATTGACCCCATACATATTTAGCTGTCAATATAGTATAGTCACAGAGTCGAATAATAAATCTTATATATAAAATTCTCGTGTCACGGTGTTTGTTACCAAACTCCTCCGAAACGGCTTTGTCGATTTTTATGAAATTTTGTGTGCATACGAGGTCTGTCCGGAAGGTTCGTATAAAAGTGTTTTGGAATGCGAGAAAGAGGAGTGGGGAGGCCAGGTAAGCGCAGGACCCCTTCCTTATGTCCCTAACAATGCTTCAGTTCTGGTCTGACCGCCGTGCGGTGCGAACTGGCTTGTCACGCCATCTGTGAAGTTACCTCTTAACGAAACCCCGTCGGCATGGAGCCCGCTTCCGTTGAAGAGCAGCGCGTCGTAATCAAGTTTCTCTCGAAACTCGGCAAGAATGGCCGTGAAATTTTTGCCGATCTCAGAACAGTTTATGGGGATGATGCTGTGAAGGAACCAACCGTCCACAAGTGGCTAAAAAGATTCAGAGAGGGCCGAGAAAGCGTTCAAGATGACCCACGTTCAGGACGTCCTTCCACTTCACATTCCGACGAAAACGTGGAAAGAATTCGAACTTGTGTTAATGGGGACCGTCGTTTAACGGTCAGACAGGTGGCTGAAGAGCTTAATTTGGGCAAAACCGTGGTCCACGAAATTCTAAGAAACGAACTTCAAATGAAAAAAATTTGCGCCAAGATCGTTCCCAAGCTTTTGTCCCCGGATCAAAAATCACGAAGAGTTGCTTGCTGTGAGGACTGGTTGGAAGCCGAAGAGAATGGTGACTTTTTGAACCGAGTCATCACTGGAGATGAGTCTTGGTTTTACGAATTTGATGTCGAATTAAAATCCCAAAGCAAAGAGTGGAAGACATCCGGGGAACCACGAACAAAAAAATCAAGAAAATCCCGCTCAAATGTCAAGACAATGTTGATTGTTTTTTTCGATGTTCGGGGGATTGTCCATCAAGAATTCGTCCCTCCAGGCCAGACAGTTGATGGAAAATTCTACGTCGATGTGCTCAGACGCCTCAAAGCTCGTGTGGCACGAGTTCGTCCAGAATTGGCGCGAGAGGGGCGTTGGATTCTTCACCACGACAATGCCCCTGCCCACACCTCTCTTGTTGTCCGTGAGTTTTTGAGTAAAAATTCCATTACGGTGACCGAACACCCCCCTATTCGCCGGATTTGGCCCCGTGTGACTTCTTCTTGTTCCCAAAAACCAAATTGGTACTTCGGGGGCGGCATTTGGGGGACATAAATGAGATAAAAAAAGCTACGACGGGGCAGCTGAGAAACCTACAACCAGAGGACTTTCAAGGAGCCTTCTCACAGTGGAAACGGCGTTGGCACAAGTGCATTATGTCACAGGGGGAGTACTTTGAAGGGGATAAAATTGATTTACCTGAATAATTGTAAAATAAA